CCCTGCGCGCGCTCAGCGGGCCACGGTAAAATTATCAATGGCTGACTGGTCCGCGGCGAAAAAAAGGTTGGGGACCACTGGATTAGAGGACTGACAGCACAAATGGCAGAAGACATGAGACTATTTCGCTACAGGAAAGATACAGGTTGATAGATGGAAGTGTATAATCTAAAACTAGTTAAACTTGGTGAAATTTAGTGACAATAGATATAGTTAAATAAATAATTTGATAATGATAATAATGTATACAACGTGTAGTATTATGATAAGTAATAATTGGATATGAATATTGAATGGTACCCATGAAAGAAAGATTAGAAATCCTCTTGGCTTATATATAAAGGTTAATATTGGACCCAGATTGTTGGGGGCAATATGCTGACTCTCTGTAAACCGCTTAGAGAGAGCTGAAAGCCGTATGAAGCGGTATATAAGTCTACTGCTATTGCTATTGCTAATAAAAAGAACTAAGTTAGATTCAGTTAAGTCTTGATTATTAGGGGGAAAAATGTTATGAATCAGGATATAGTCAGATAAAGGAGGGATAATGATAACTATACACACACACACACACACACACACACACACACATATGGGTACAACATAAGGAAACTGGATATAAATTGTAAACAGTGATTTGTAAAGGATTAGAAAATTTTGCTACTAAATATTATGGATGTTTAGCTAGAATAGTACATAAGGATTCAGTGTTATTGGAGGATTTTAGAAATAACAAATGATATCCAGTTATGTATTAATATTGATATATTTTATGATGAAGGACGTTTAAACAATTATAGTCAAGTGAAAAAGGAGGTATGATGATGGTAAAATGTATAAATATCTGAGTAAAATACTTGAGTTAATATGAATTATGCTTGATGACTGTGGAAGAGAAGAACGAAAGCCTTTTGTAACCAACTGATACACTTTCTACAGCGTGTAAAGAAGGAAGATTTTATGTGTTGTGTTTGTTTTGAAAATTAAAAATAAAAGAAAGTATTTTTTTAAAAGAATGTCCTGTCTTTGATGGATACATGTGAATTCTTGGCAACTTTTGTACCCTCAGGAAGACTTTATCATAGATTATCGGTTGTTTTTGATGGAGTGACAGAACTGAGTCGGAGGTGGTCATTCATCCTCGCGATTCTTCCTTCTCTGCAGCTTTTGATATCACTTCCAGGAGTTGGGGCTTGGGGGGCATGTTTTCATGTTTCTACTCCATTAGTGTTGGTTTTGGGGAGAGATCAGTCCCTAGACCCCTCCTGTGTGGCTATGTTGCCCTATTGCTGTGATGGAGAACCTATCGCACGCGTGCCACCGGTGGCACGC